ATGACCAAAAGCTGCCCTTGAAGCTTTCAAAACTTCCTGTGTCCTGAACCACATATGGAATCACAGTATGTATACCATGACATACATTGCTGTCATACACTGTGTTTGGGAACAAAAGAATTAGTGCAGAAACCCACAGACTATTTTCAAGCTGCCTGCAAGGCTGCCTCCACGTGAATCTTTAACTTTTGCCTATACTTGCAGAGCACTGTGGCAAAAGATGTGTAAATATAGCAAGGCATTTTCTGAAGCTGAGGGGATAGAGTCATGATGTGCTATTTCCTAAAGGACTTAGATATGAATATTAGAGATCCTTGGCTGTGGTTCAGAGAAGCACCTGGAAGCTTGGATACATGTAATGTCACTTCTCCAGCTGAGAAAGAAAACCAAAAAATAGACTTTCTTAAAATAATATTTCAAAGTCTCATATCCCAGGAACTGTTGTCACACCTAGATGTCCTACTGCATTCGGTATTCCTGCTTTTAGATTAATTTACTCCTGGAAATGGTAAGATGAGTACAAGTTTTAAAGGGAGGATGAAACAGACAGATGCCTTGGCAAGAGTTTGATTTCTGAAATCATGTTGAATGTCAAGGAGCACTTTCTCAGATCAGTTCATTTATTTGTAGGGCTTCCAGCTGACTTGAGCTGTTCTGTCCTTATGCTATATAGGATTTATGTACTGATATGTTTAGAAAAAAAGTCATTTATGGACCTGGATATACTTTTAATTTTTCAAGTCCAAATTGGGTTTCTCACAAATGCCATTGAGGAGAATTCCATTGCTTCTCATCTAGTTATTCAAGCTTGCTTGCTTCCTTGAAACAATATTACAGTTGTGAATGTGTTCATCTCTCTATACATTATCTTTTCCCTCGAATGCGTTTACTTTCACTTGTGACAGTCATGTGTGTTAGTTTTTTATCTTGTCTTTAATAAGCTGTAGTTCATTGTAATTTATTATGTATTATATTTAAAGTATCTGTAGAGAAATGCCACAATCTATAAAATGCAAGCACATATCATATATGGGGAAATTAATAATTTCAGGGAAAGAAATTAAAGTTATGATTGAATCAAAGCAATCCTGTTCTTTGTTTATCAAACAGAAAGTCTGATATGCTCTCACTATGTTAAGAACATCCGAAACTCATCTGTAATTAAAAAGATGTCATTCCTTTACACAAATAATATAATTAAGTATATGCAACCCATTCAGAGAATAGAAGAGGCTAAATTGTATTTTTCACTCTAAACAGATTATAATTAGTTCCTGGCAGAATGTTGTCCTGATACAATGCACTATTTTCTTGCTGTTGTGGCTATTGTGAATGGGCTGTGCTGCAAAGGCTGAAAGTGGGTATGTACACTCCCACTCTTTGCTATTTAGAGTCTTTCAGGTGCCCACTTTAGAACCATACAAAAGCATCCTTTTGCTGATTTAAATTGTGATGTTTTTCCTGTGCAAAGCCTGCGTTTCTTTCCTTTTCAGGACAGAACTTTAAAGATAAATCATATACTGTGGAAAATGTTTAAAGGTTCCGCTTTAGAAAAGAAAGAAACAGGAGCATGCTTTCATGCTTCTTAAGGCCATTTTAGAGAATTCCTGCTTTCCAGTTCTTGTAGAAGTCTGTAGTGGGTGTGCTTATGGTTGCTTGTGTACATTTCACTAGGAATGGCTATTTAGTCTTAATTTCCAAGATCAAGAACCTAAATATAAGACTGATAAGAAGTGAAATACACCAGAAAGCTGCTGCAGTATGCAAGAAGTGTGCAGAGACTGCAAATGAGCAAGTCGGAAAGCTGGTTCATGAGCAGTGGCCCCATAGATCTTGTCCAATTTCTGTTCATTTCTGAGTGGGAAATAAGTCTTCCTGACTGCACCTACATTGCTAAAATTTTTGTTTGAAAGTAATGGAAATTTTTTTTATTTCCTCTTTGAAATAGGGTTAAAGATGTTTATATTAATATATACTCAGCAAAGGCATCAATATATTCTAATTAATGAATTATCCATTTAGGGCTACAATAATTCACTTTATTTCTAATCACTCCCAGTGAATTATTTATATAATGACATTTATTAGCAAACTGCCATTTGCATCACTTTTACATCATTCTTCTCATTATTAATTTACTTTCAATAATTCTTTAGTGCTTGGTCTCATCAATAAAGAAAAATGAATGGAGCCCATGAAGCATTTAACTTTATCTTAATTCTATATCCCTAATACCATTGCCAATAGCAAAGAGCAGATAAATAATATATTAACTGGCAATTCCTCCCTTTTGTACATTCCCTAGTCTCCTTTTCTCTCCTGTATGCCAGTATCCCTTAGTTTGTTCTGTAAAAGCAGATGATGATTCCCTATTAATGACTATTTGAATAACAGAATTACATAGCTATTGTACTTGCTTCTTTATGTCCCAGACAGTGACTATGAATTAATTAGCATTAGAACAGTGGAAATTCCTATGAGTTTAACATTGTATTTTTTGTGCATTATTGAATGATTTTACACTTCCTAATGCAAAACTGATGATATCTCTTCAAACCTCTGGGGGAGTATGTGAGGTCATTAAAGTTAGATTTGCAAAGAAAATATATGGATTTCTTGCTCACATTATTTTTTCCTGTGCTGATAATGCTATTCTTGAGTTCTTGTTCAGAGTGGCTTGTCTGTATAGAAAGATTCTTTATCCTATTCATCTACATTTCCCAAATTTTCATTTCATGAGGGAAATGAACTGTGTTTTTTTAAATACTTAAAACATTCCTACATGAAAATTTCAGCTCCCAGGGTTGTCATCAGAGATAATGGATACAGAAAGGCAGCTCAGTGTGAAAAAGCAAATATACACATCAGAAATGAAAACACCAATTTATACCATGTCTCTTTCCTGTCTTCATTGCTGATAGCTTATTTTGTCCATAAAGGAAGATTCCAGAAGTAACTGCGGTGGTTTTTCATGTAGGCTTCTGCATGGGAAGAAAAATTATGAAGTTTTATTTAAAAATTGTTTGTTATTACTTTTATTTTTAAAATGAGGGGGTTTTCAATTCATGGAAGCTCACAACATTATTAGCACCCTGCCAGAGAGGGAGAAACACAGGCAAACAGAATCCCTCCTGCAAGCAATGAATCTCTTTGTACTACACACTGAGCCAAATCTTAGTGTGTTATGCCAAATGAATTGTTTAAATAGATTTTATCTCCATAACTTAAGTTTTTTCTCTTTTAAAATAATCTTTTTTTTGTTTTCTTTCAAAGTAAAGAGCAACATGTATTTAGGCTTAAATTTACCATTTTTATTAATACAACTTCTTAAAATTTATAATATTTAAGTAATATATTCTTGATTGCTAAGTTCTAAAGAAAGATGTTTAATTAGGAAGAAAAATACTGGCTATGCATCCAGACCAAAGCTTTTGAAATTATTAAGGAGCTTTTAACAGCAGACAAAAGAACTGTTTTCTTCATGTCAGTTTGATTTACTTCAATAACTAATTCAAAGTTAAGGAACTGCTTAGAAATAGAATAAGCGGAAGCATCATTATCATTAAACAGCCTATGAATAAATTCTCAGTCTGGGATCCTGAGAGTTATGAATTCATTCATTAGCTGTATGTAAAATTAGCTTTGGTAGTAAACCAGTTTTAAATATAAAATGCTTGATACATTTTTCCTCTGTATACAACATTTATTGCAATTTTATTTAAATAATAAATAGACTTGAAAGGCAAGGATTTTGCATTTCAATTGCAATTCCCATTTCCATCCAAAGCAGCTGGATACAAGTCATAAGTAAATAAAAATTAATCTTCTAGTAAAGAAGAATTATAATTGATTTCTACCAGAATGCTATGTAAGTATTTATCATTTGAATAATTGTGCTGAACGATACCATTTTTGAAATGGGAGTGTAAGGTGTTTTTCTGGTAGTGTATGGAAGCAACAGATTAGTTTGAAAGTCAGATTTGTTTCAAAACAGCATTTTTTTTCCCCAAATTTACCTACTGACAAGAATCAAATTCTCTTGAGGAGAAAAGAATAATACATATTTAAAATAAGTATAGAAAGGTCTATTTTTTCAACAATTGTTTTACAGTTTTTTTATTTTCACAATGCCAATGTTTTAGATCTTACAAGAAATAATATCATATTGAATGCTTGAAATATTTGTCAGGTTTTACTAAAATATTATAGTTTAGAGCCTTGTAAATAGGCAATTCTGTGATATATTGGAGATAGAATGGCTATATAAATAAAAATATATAGCCCCCTACTTTAGGAGCATCTTTACTCACTATTTTAATTCAAAGAATTTAATTTAAAGAATTCCAACATTTTAAAAATTAATTTAATTTCCAGATGGAAGAAAATAAGTTCTGATATTTTCTACTTACTAAAATTCTGCTTAAATCTAGTGAAAATATCAAAATGGGCATTTTCTTCCCTCAGCAAGAGTGATGCATTCAGTTTAAATTTCAGTATAACAAGAGTAACATAAATTTATTTTGAACATGTAGATTTATGCTCACATTGATGTTGATTTAGTTTATATGTAGATGCTCCTGGCATTTTAGTTAGAAACACTTGGTTGCTTTATATTAGGCTTTTTTAATGACTTATCAAAATCAGAAAATTCATATGCTTTCTTGAAAACTTAAACCAAAGTAGTCCTCTTAAATCACACAGCTGACAGAGACACCTATTCCTGACTTGCTCAAAGTTATGAATTAATCAGTTTGTTTCAGATATGTAATTGCTAGGGACGAGGTTGAGTGTGGTTTAATAGCTGCTCTTATTTTTGTGTATCCAGCATTGGGCAATGAAATTTCAGCAGCAAAGGTTCATTTTTCTGAGCTAAAGGAGAAAGAAGAGGTTTTATTGTGCCAGTAGTGGAGAACATATGTAAAGCAGCAAAGATCTCATTGTTTTCAGCCAAGTGCTGGCATACTAATTATGCCTTAACTACATCTCCTGTTTCCTCCTAGGTCTTACTGCTGCGGCATCCCTTGTATCCCTGGCTTGGGCTTTGGCTTCCTACCAAAAGGCCCTCCGTGACTCCCGTGATGACAAGAAACCCATCAGTTACATGGCTGTTATAATCCAGTTTTGCTGGCACTTCTTCACGATTGCAGCAAGGGTCATTACTTTTGCTCTCTTTGCCTCGGTTTTCCAGCTGTACTTTGGGATCTTCATCGTGCTGCACTGGTGCATCATGACCTTCTGGATTGTTCACTGCGAGACAGAGTTTTGCATCACTAAGTGGGAGGAGATAGTTTTCGACATGGTTGTTGGGATAATCTATATCTTCAGCTGGTTCAATGTCAAGGAAGGAAGGACACGCTGTAGGCTTTTCATTTACTATTTTGTCATCCTCTTAGAAAACACCGCCTTGAGTGTTCTCTGGTATCTGTACAAGGCCCCTCCAATCTCCGATGCATTTGCCATACCAGCACTGTGTGTAGTGTTCAGCAGCTTTTTAACAGGCATTGTTTTTATGCTAATGTACTATGCCTTCTTTCACCCCAATGGACCAAGGTTTGGGCAGTCACCAAGCTGTGCTTGTGAGGACCCTGCCGCTGCCTTCACCCTTCCCCCAGAAGTGGCCACGAGCACACTGCGCTCCATCTCCAACAACCGGAGCGTCACGAGCGAGCGGGATCAAAAGTTTGCGGAGAGGGATGGGTGTGTGCCTGTGTTTCAGGTGAGACCCACTGCACCATCCACACCTTCCTCCCGGCCACCAAGGATTGAGGAGTCTGTCATTAAAATCGATCTGTTCAGGAACAGGTACCCAGCATGGGAGAGACACGTGTTGGACAGGAGCCTGAGGAAGGCGATCTTAGCGTTTGAATGTTCCCCTGCTCCTCCACGGCTACAGTATAAAGATGATGCCCTTATTCAGGAGCGCTTGGAATATGAAACCACATTGTAAACAAAGCTTGGAGTGGCTCCAACGTTACAGTTCAAATGAAGGGTTAACAGTAGGGCTGTAGGAACAGCTAGACTGCATATGACAAGTAGAGCAACAGCCTATAGTGTTCTTAGTCTGGCTATCATCATGATTATCATTTGATCCACTGTGTGCAGTCTGTCTGCAGGACACTGATACAGCAGCATCATCTGAAAGCCTCAAAAAACCCCTCACCCTGACCCACACATACAAATCAGTTACATCAGCGGGGGGAACTCACCCACCCCCCTTACTGCTATGAAACTCTGACTGCACAGTACTTACAATCAAACCAATATAAAGGCTCTGACAAGAGCTTTCAGCTTCAGCCAGTAGTGCATTTTATTTTAGAAATGAACAATTGATATTTCCATAATCAATGGCAAAAACAAAAAAAAACCCCACACCTTTTCAAAAATAACAAACTGTAGCACACAGTGTTGCTGTAAGGAAAAATGTTTTCTGGGGCAAAAAACAGGAGCTTAGTAGTCTTCAACACTCCCATAAATCAACCATTCCAGTTAGAATAGGTTTGCAAAATAGTTCTTAATTTAAAAGAAACATCATCCTGTTTATAAGGCTGTCAATGGAAAATAAACTAAATTCTGATTAACTAAGTCATTAAAATTAACTCTACCAGAACTGTTTGTTTTCTGTGGAATTTCAAAGTCTTTTTTAAATGCAATTTAACTTCTTGATATTATTTTCAACAGAAAATCTATGCAGCTCACTTCTGGTTTTGAGGAGAAATAAGGAGCTCTAGCACGTAGTGATATTCATTAAATGATAATCATGATTCAGTGTTCAATTTGAAAAAAAAAATGTAAAAGAACAAGTATAGTTTTCATATTCTAAACTTTTTGGAGGACCCCTTTCAGATATTTCAGAAGAAACCACAAGGAGCTGAACACACTGAAACTTCTCTGTTTCAGGACTGAGAATGCATGATTCAGTGTGTGAATGTATGCAGGTGTGACAAGAGACTGACATGCCATACCCTTCTAGTGCCAAATATTGCATAACTGCAAGGTTGATATTGCCTGAGGGACACAACAAGTGGCACAAGCCCTACCAGAAAAAGAAGCAGGAAAGACCAACCAAGCTCTCAGTGTGTAGAGACAGCTCTGATTTTTCCCACTCAAGGTGAAAGTGATGTCTTTTAAAGGCTTCCAGCCACCTCTTAGTAAGTATGTATAGTATAATAATATAAACAAGTTATGTGGAAGAGCCTCTTCTGCCTGTTCAAGACTGGTTTCCAGACATGTCTAAAAATTAGAATCTCTTGTAACAGAGTGCTTTTGATGCAAGCTTTTGGGTTTTAAATACCTCCCTAAATCTAGCTAAAGGTGTTATACTTTATGTTAAAAGTATCCCCTGATGGTGCTTTCAGATGCATTAAAGGTGCAAGTCAAAATTTGATAGTATTTTTTTTAAAGCTGGTGCAGAGTGAAAAACTCATGGACTATTTCAATATTTTTGTAAAGTAAAAATATGGTATGAAAGGTTACTTTTTATAAACCTCAAATCTTTTAATACATTTCATTCTCTTTATAGCTTAGATTTTAAGAATTGGTCCATGAATTTTATCAAATGGCTTTTACAGGTTGACATAAACCTGGTTTTCACACATTATGGATTTATTTTGCAGTGTAATGCCATATGAAAGCCTACATGGGTACTTTTAGAATACTCTATAAACTGTGGATCCTGCTTCAAATGTAAGTGGCTTGTAAAAACACCAAGTGATTCCATGAGAAATAATTTGCTGTAACTATTTCCATCCATTTTAGGAGAGCAAAGCAGAACTGAAGAGTTACTCTTGTAAATGGCATTGTCAGGATGGAGAAGACCTTATAGTTGGACTGTCAGATATATCCAGTATAGTCACTGCTGTGTATGCTGCTGGGTAAATTTCTGTCTTTCCTATTACCAATATTTGTACTATGAAATGGCCAAGGTTACACAAACTATGTTTATTTGTATGCATTCAATTATCAATTTTTAATGTTGGCTTTTTTTATTAGTGAAATATACGATACCTGTTGTTCTTTGCTGGGGCAAATTCCTCTAAACAAAAACCTTTGGAAGTGTGGGAATCTGTAAAGCAGAGGGAACTTTACACAGATCAGAAAAAATTTATGCTTCAGGGGTTTCTTAGATATTTTCAAATCAAGCAATGGCCAAATGCCTCTACAAATTTTTTTTAATAAAACAAATCTTTGATAGTCCAAACCTGAAGCTTTTTACAAAGTGATTACCCTTTCTATCATGGAGATACAGCTGATTATTCAGAGAAAAGCACTCATGTTTTTCAGAAAATATACCACTGCGAGAACTGATAAAAAAAGATCTTGGAAGCAAGTCCTTTGTCCTGTCATATTCAATAGACCCTTCACTCCAGAATCCAATTCCTGTTCACAAGAGGGAATTGCTGTTTTTCTTCACAAAGAAAGCAAGTGTAAGTGATGTGAGGGTTTCTTTTGGAGGCAGTTTTAAGTGTTTGCTGCTGCTTTAGCAACTCGGAAATTGAAGCCTGAGTGAGGCACAGTGGGCAGCCTTCTCAAGCTTCAGACTCCCACCAGCAGCTCCTGGGGAGAGGGGCAGCATCGCTGCTGTCAGCGAGGCTCTGCCTCTTCTGATGTTCCTCTCATCCTCTCACTCTTCCTCAGAGCTGGGAGCCCTTTGGCCAGGCTTACAGAATTCAAGAAAAGTTGCTTCATATGGAATTTAAAGGGTTAAGGTCTTCACCAGTGCTTGCACTGCAAGGTTTCTGAAGAGGGTTTGGGATTAATTTGTTTGATTTGCTTTTATTCGGTTTCAGAAGGAAGGACACAGGTGTTATTTATCTGTGTGGTTTTTCATGCCTAGAATTTTATTTTCTTAATCTCACAGCATTCTTAATTTTTTAAACTAATGTTTGCAAAAATGTTTATCTTAAGCATACTACTGCAGGATGTGAGTTCAGAGTGACATATATATGTGTTTGTGCATATATATTTATATATATGCAGCACTACATATATACACCTTGTCCTCAGAATTCAATACAATGGTTTGAGGCAGGGGTAGAAGTTCTTATACACTAAGTCAAAATTTGCTTAAAAATCTTGCCCTATCACATTCATAACATCAGTGTTACCTACACTGAGAACAGGGCAGTGACTGAAATCTAAACACTCTGATGACTGCATAGACAGTTTCCTAATTTGCATTGCTGTGAGTTGTCACATTAAGAGCTGTAAGATTTTTTTATAGAAATTGCCAAGAATAAACATAGTTCATGCTGAAATTCCATTATGGCCTTATGGACAGTTAATAATCAATATGCACTCTTCTTTTTGCCACAGACAGTTCTAAAATCAATAAAGTTCAACTGAGACAGCAATAGCAAAAATAAAAAAAAAAAAGGACTTGTAAAAAACATGAAATTTTGCTTTTGAAATAATGAAAACATCAGGCCTTTTACATTTCACATAAGAATACAGGAATATAAAAAAATCATATTTTCATATTTACATTCTGGCAAAAAAAAGCAATCACATCTATTTACTAGAAATAAGACTTACAGGAGCATTGTTCTAATGAGCCAATCACACTTAGCAGCAGACTTAATGGTAATTTATCTGGTTAAAAACTTGGTCCTAAAATTTTGAGAGCTGTGGATTTGTCTGTTGCAGAAAAGACAATTCAACTATTATCACTAATTAAATAAAGGTAATGTATACCCATGTTCATTTTGAAAACATGCAAGAAAATGTAAGAGAAAACTTTTACTTATTTTGAAAGCTGTTTATTCTGTTATGGGATAATTTTTCTTTTAAAAATTCTTTACAAATATGTGCAATACTTTCTTTCCATGCATATTTAATAATGATAATACTAATTTCCAATTTTGTTTATGTCAATTTAAATATGCTTCTTGTGACAGAACAATGTTTCTTTGCTTGGGTTATATGGACTTGATGACATATATACAATATTCTCATTGTCAAATCAACGAATTTTCTATTAACTAATTTTTAGAAAATTGGAGAAAATTTTCCTTCCAAATTTTAATGCTAGGTCTAATCTGCCTGATTTTAATCAGAGAAGGAAAATTACATATTTATTGGCAATTTAATTTTTAATACCTGGAGAATAGCTATTAAACCTGTATTAGTTTAAAACATACAATGGTCTTTCCAATACATCATTATGTCCCCAAAAGAGCAATTCATAAGTGGTACTAAAAGTAGAAGTGCTGCTTTATTTGGAAAGGGACTCCCAATCATGCAATATGTTCATTTACTTTTTATTGGCCAGCAAAATATTCACAACTGGACTGTTGGGCTTTTTACAACACAAATTAAACAAGTTTGAAGTGCTTGTGATTTGATCGTATCATTCCTAAGGAGCCTTAAAAGTGGCACTGTACTGAGTTTTATTTGGCTCTGCCAGTGATTCAGCTTCCAAAGCCACTGCCCTTTCTTTGCTCCCTGCCTGAAGCTGTGCAATCCAGAGTGACTGAGATGCTGTGATTTACTCTGTACCCCCTGCACTGCCTGTACAATGCCAAGGAAAAGACTTCAGCAGATTTCCTGGGGTCCTACTGCTGCCTCTCTTACTTCTGTGCATGGTGGGAAGCAGAGCAAATTGCATCTGTCCATCCATCTAAACAAGCCTGTGTAAGCTAAACCTTTACAAGATGTGTGTGATGAAATTAATCGCAACTCTTGTCCATAGATCTACAAGCCCAACACTGCAATTACTAATTCTGCAATGTAACAACACAGGACATAGGAAGAATTATCTAAATACACAATAAGCCATTTAATTTCACTACTTGTAGCAATTATACTAGCTCACATAGAGCTCACACTCTCAGCAGAAAGCCAAATCGAGTAAGTGGCAAACAGCCATTTGTGTACCAGAGACATTAAGTTATAAGATCCTCACTTGACTGTTTATAGGACTATGTCTTTTCATTATAGCAATGAATCCATCCCTCTTTATTCTGGTAAAAGAGATAAAATGCAAAATGAGAACAGATTCTTTTAAATCTGGGAATAAAAAAAAAAATGACACAACAAATTACTGTAGTTCCCCTGTAGTTATTTTTTAAAACACTTTCTGCCATCATTTTCACTTGGCTGCAAATAGCTGAGTGATCTGCATCTGAGATGATTTCTCACATCTGGTAGGAGCAGACTTCATTACAGGAGAGACAGGGATGATATTACCAGGCCTTGTTCATGCAAAGTTAGGGGAATGGTGCCACTACGAAGACATCATTTACAAAGCTGCTTTAATACATGAGGAGTCTCCTGGCACCATTTATTTTACCTCAGTGACCTCAGTTCAGGACCTTGGTGAGATTTTCTTCACTGGTATGAATATACTAAATCAGGCCCTGGCCTAGAGTGAACTACAGGAATTTAGACCATGGTAGTGGAAGTCTTCACCTCTTCACTCCAAACTGAAGTCAGCTGGAGATTTGCTTAATGCCAAAAAGCCTGCATGGCACTTGGCTCAGCCTGAAATACATACGCTAAACTTAGTGCTGACTCAGCATGAATCAAAGATTTCTTACTCCTTCCTTTTTAGTTCAAACATTCAAGATTATTCCCGCTTTGACTGAGTTGCTGTTTTGTGATCCTTTTAAGAAGACTTTGAAAAACGTCTCTGAAACCAGTCATTTCCAGTGATTCTTACAAAAGCCAATTCCTGGCCAGTACATTCATTAAAAGGAACCTTTTCTAACTGCGTAAGCTTGGCTCCTGTACTTAAATTTTGCTCTAAATGCTTAGCATTTAATTCTGACACAGAGGATCTTATATATCCATTAGTAAACCCCGTGCCTACTCTAAATCCTAGGGCAAAGACAACAGATATGCAAGATTCAGGACAAAAGGTCCTCTTCAGCACACTTGGGGGTGATTTGCATGAGCCAGAGAAGTCAGAGAGAAGCTTGTGTATAATCACAACAGTCTTATACATATAGTTGTTATATTCATTGAGAGAGATTTAAAGAAATTATAAGTGACCAACTAATAGAAAGATCAAATCTCAACTTCTATATGCAAGGTGGCGTAAAATAAAATCAGCCAAGAAACTTTAAAGTGTAACCAAAAATCTCCTTTCAAGGAATGGTTGGAATAAATTTTAAAATGTAACAGATTTGTCAATGTAACAAAATTCAAGATTCATAGAAAGAAAGATATGATTTCTATAAGTTTTCTCTATCTGTAGGTTTCAGCTTCTTACTTCAGATAACTCTGGAAACAATTGCTTCTGGCATGCTGCAGCTCTAGGAATGCTAGCAGCTTTTCTACACAAAATCCGTTCTCCTATAGGAAAGTCCACATCCTTTAAAAAAGCATTGAGTTTGGGGTAGTTTTCCCACTGAACTAAACCTCACAAAAGCATTTTTTTAGTATTAAATAGGTGTGTCCACTCAGCACCTAGCATGTAATGGTACTGCAAAACAGAATTTCACAGATCAAGGTAAAAAGGCTGCTGGTTGAATGTCTAGAACAGCCCGCAGAGACACAACACAATGCCAAGGAAGGCATAGACTGCGTTTGTGTGCTACAAGTGTGCTCAGGCAAGGCCTGGTCATAGTCCAGCACTCTCTTCCCCACCTCACGCACCAAAGAGCTCACAAAAGAGAGGAAAGCCATGTGCATGGGCTGAATGAAAGCCACAACACTTGGGACCAGATACCGGGCACATTGCAGCACAGGTGCAGAGGCTGGCACAGGCACATCAGGGGTCTCAAGCTCATACTATTCCTCCAAACTGCACTAACTAGGAGCTCCTGAACATTTTCAATGCCAGATATTCAAGGACCGAAGATTTGCCTCCTGGGCTTGGTCAGATACAACTTGGTCTTCACAGCACAAAGTTAGCTCAGCTGTTATCTCCCACATAAACCTGCCAGGATCTTCTGAGCAGGCATTCTCCTGTCCATTTTACCTGAAATAACTGGGTCCTCTGTGGTGCTATCAGATGGAGCTTTGCACTGAAATACTCTTGAGGGCTTTTCCAGCAGTAAATTGGTGGTAAGCAGAGACCAAGTGGAGAGCCAGATTCAGTGATCTCTTCATCTAGCAACGATTCATATCTTTAGCTGCTATCTCTCAGGGGAAGGATATAGGGCTGCATGCTGGTGAGGAGAAGGGCAATGCTCTCTGCCTCATATTTTGAGCTGTTCTTCCTCTTTATGAAAAATGTAAATGTGAACATACAAATGTAGACATGTGCAGTGTAGACATACATCTAGTATTTTGACATGTTCAGTCTCTTTAGTGTTGAGGACACTGAAATTGCTGAGCACATTCAACATCATTGCCTACACGCAGCCAGAGTAATGTCTGCAGGAAACATCTGGGGCAGAAGCAAAAATCACTTTGCTCACCTTCCAACCTGACCAAAAGCTGTATGAACATGGTTAGCACTGTGAAAAAGCCTGAATCTCTTTACATGCTGCCTTGAACCAGGTCTATTAATGCACTGTGTGCTGTTCTGGGCAAGTTCACATGGTTTTTCCTTGGAGCTCAGACAGATTTTGTATGGACACCAGAGCTGCACTTGTAGCTTATCTGTAGCTCCCTGAACCCAAGTTTCACTTTGAGATTCCAGCTACTTTGCCAAACAAAGATCAGTTTGGGCTAAGCAAAAGGCAAACAGGATCTGTGCTATCTAGCAAAGCATATGGAGCAGACTTGGTTTCTCTGGACCATAGCTGTGTGCAAATTGCCCAGGTTGTGGTGAATGCAAGACATTCAGTGTCCACACCACACTATAACGAATATTCTATGTGAAAGTGTTTGGTTTTATCATAGTAAAAATAGTAGGACCTTATCACATTCTTGGGAGCAAATTTACAATTTCAAATGCATTATATATATGTGTGTGTGTGTGTGTGTGTGTGTATACACATGACAGTGAGTCTTGAGATTCTATTAGGATTCAATCATACAGTTCATTTAAATCTTAAGCCTAAACAAAAACAAAAACAAAAACAAAAACAAAAACAAAAAAAACAACCACAAAAAAAAAATCAGGAGCAGTTTCATCAAGGATAACCAAGTGGGAACTGTAAAATAAAAAATTATATTATTGGAAAATACATTCTAGTCATTATTGGAAACAGCCTTGTGATTTAGTGTGCCAGCACTTTAAGAAAAAATTATGGAGAAAATATGTCTAATGCTGTACTTCATATCTTAAATATTTTGGTAAAAGACTCGAGCAGGGATAATTGTGTAAAATAAAAAAGGATTTATCACATTTACTTAAGGAAGAAAACAATCATATAGAAAAATGGCAAAGGGATCAATTAAACTTTTTTTTCATGTAATGTAATGTTGGTTGTATTTGTTTCACTATCAGTTATCATTGTCAGTAGCTTATGAAGGAAATAACATGCAATAATTAGGATGGTTTACTTGCATTTTGACTGAAGAATGCTAATTGGGTTTGTTATCCAATGCATGCAATTTCCTGATGCAAGCTGTTGGAAGGAAAGACTTGCTCTTGCACAGATTATATACCGAAGATAAATTTCAAATGCATGTATTTGAAAATGATACTCAGTTTAAATGTATCATGCATATGCAGTAACTATTTCTGAAATTCTGACTACTGATGCTTTTTCAATATGTTCTGCTTTATTATGTGTCAATCCCAGACTGTTTCCCAGAAAATATTTGATGAGAATTCATTTTAAAGTTTATGCAGCTGAGGAAAAGACTACTAGCCAGTGAAGGCACTTGCTTCTCTGAAGTTCAGATATATGTCTAGAGTTCCTGACCTGTGTCACTATTCACCATTAAGGACAATGTTTGAAAAAACAAGTATGTTTCCGGAGAGACCTGTTATATGGTCATAGAGATCTGAAATTGTCATGAGTGGGTAAGATAATGGCAGTAACTACAGAGGAAGAGTTCAAAAGTAGTCACTAATGACTTTGAGCGTCATTCCCTGAATTTCTGCTTTGGGACACACATTGTCCTCCTGTCAGCCAGCATCCACGTGTACTGGGATCACCCCTGGCACCTGCACTGTGGTGTCCACTCTGGCTCAAAGTGCAGGCAGCTTGTTTCCAGCTCCAGTTCTCCCTGGGTTATTGGACTGGCCCATGGGACATATTTCACTGAGAACACTTAAGCTATCAGTGAGACTGCCACACCAATCTGGACAGGATTTAGCCTATAGATAGCACAATATGGACAATGAAAAATCTTCCTTTGTCAGCAGAGAGGGCAGCTGCCACTATTTATAGTCACAAAGTGCCAACATATTGCCATGTATTTGTGGTTGCTATTGATTCCTTCTTTTTCATTTTATTGAAACTGCTTAGAACTTGTTGAGCTGCACCTAGGTTGATTTACAGCTAATTAATTCAACAGACATTTTTAATCTTGCAAATGTGTGGCTTGTAATACAGTAATCAAGGTCCTATGAGCAAACATTAATCAGTTCAGAAGGAAAAGAAAAAAAACATTGTTAGCTGTGTTCAGTGAGGTCCCCACATTGGAAAGAGAGATCTAGAAGAAATGCAACATTAATAAGTCATCCTAGCTAAGATTTCATCATTAATCTTGTGAAACATCTATCTATTTGATTCATTTCATATATGCAAGGAGTTGTATTTTAAAGAGGATTCATAGGGTTGAGACAGCTTTATTTACCATCAATGTGAAACTGGCCAAATTTCCTTCTGCTCATTGATACATCTTATCAGCAAAAAGCCATTCTATCCAGCAGCAGTATAATTTCATTTTTGAGATGGCTGTACTGATTGTCCAACTCTTTACCCTGGAGAAATTACTGTAACAAAAAACATACTTCCTTTAGGAACAGCAGTAAGAACTGGGTGAATGAATGAAGAAAATACTGGTTTTCACTGCTTTTAACACACAGGTGGATTTTAGCTACTTTGACATGAAGCAGAAGGTTAAAAAAATAAACAATGCTGCTTACAGAGGCATCTGAATAATGGAAGGCTTGTGATTAGCAAAGCACTTAATTTTTTTTCATCATCAGAAACAGTGTAGCTTAGTACACTTACAGTTTTATAAAAATCGGCAAGAATGAGTGGGTGGTTTAATATTTAACTCTTGTACTTGTAGGAAGACAATTATGGCAACATGAGACTCAGCAAGGGCTCTGGCTTGGGACCCTCCTGATACAGAATTTTCAGGCGGGATGAAGGCACAGACCCCTCCAGTCAGGCTGCACAGGGCACACATGTTATTGTGGAAGTGTCTCCCCAAGTGACCTTAGCAGGGAGGCCAAACATCAAAAAGACATGAAAGCAAAAGGATGATTCCCCTGGTCAAGATTAAGAGATATTTGTGAAACACTGTGGAAAAGCTGCCCCTGCTGTTTCAGTGGATAAAAGGAGGAACAGCGTCTTTTAACAGCAAAAAAAAAAAAAAAAAAAAAAAAAAACCACCCAAAACTCAAACCAACAAACCTTGATGCCAAAATACTATTTATAGTGCAATTACTCTCTCCTCGGGGAAAGACATTGACTGAGAAAATTCTTTATGTGTTACAAACTAACTGAAACACACCAGGAGACAGTGAAAGATACTTCTTATATATAACTTTGTTGCTCTTGACAGAGCTGTTTATTAGCAATAAGATACAAAAGTGTCTCAAACTAAGGCCTGGGAGACGAGGATTTTATGTGGCAGTTATGCCAGTGATCATTAGATTCAGAAATGATAGATCTTTATAATAGATTATGGGTAAAAAACCTAATTACCTTCTTTTTGGAGGATAAATCTCAGATGGCTTCCACAAGAAATATAAGGTTTAGAACAGGCTCAAGGCATGGTATTTTCTGTATATGAAGTATTATAGGCTTGGTGTTGCTCGACTGGTTGTGCATTTTCTCATGCTCTCAATTTCTCCCACAGTACGTCCATGAGCAGATAGCGGATTTGAAGGTGCATGTTCCTTTATTGCTAACAGTCCTCACAGCCACTTCTTCATGCACAGCTGAGCAACACACACATGGGACAGTGTAAATGTTTAGGGCAGGGAAAAAAAATGGGGAAAATGGAGATCAGTAGATATGGCAGAAGCCTTATAATTAGGAAAGAGCCCTGAAGCTTTAGAGTAGGTGAGCCTTCATAGCATATGTTCACGCTCAGGTATTCTGTCACCCAGCTCCTCACGGAAATTACTGCTGAAAGACTTCCAGTTATATTAGATGTTATCATAAATTCTTGCTTGTTTAGTAGCAGAAACCATCTCATCCTGATTTAAGTAGAAAACACTGTGGAGTTATCTGCAACCTCATGCATGATCTGTAAGTGTAGGATATTACAATAAATCTGTTTTATTCAAAGATTTACCAGAAAAATTGGCAAAGTTTATTAGATACTGTTCTGATGTTTTTCCTTGCTTCCATTTTTTTCTTGCATGTATGAGTCTCATATGAAAACCTCACCAATGAGAAAAGGTAATGCTCAGGTTATCTAAGAAACTTTCTTTTCTCATGTCATAGTACAAAACTCAAAAATTCCTTTGCATAACACCTGGCTATGGGGTAACTTCTATAATTAAGATGAAAAACAGTTTAAAATGCAAACACTGTAGTAATTTTCTCAATTGCAAAGCAGAAATTTTATTAAAGACAGCTGTCATATCTTGATTTTACTTCAGGTCAGCTTGTTTTACTTCATCATTCCAAAGCCTTGGTATGTGCCCATAGCAACCTAAAAATCGGTATCTTTTGTTTCTGAGGTAATTTCTGACTCACAGAACAGCCCATAATAGGGATCATGTTAAATTAGCAAACAAGGATCTGCTATTCCAGTGCAGTTCTTCTTTACCAGGACTGCAGTTCCTTTAAATCAATTCCTGTTGATTCTCAAGGGCAGAAACTGTCCCCTGTGTAATTTGTTCTGCTTGAGGGGACAGATATTTTACTGTCTCTTCTCTGAGTTCTGTATTATTAACAAGGTAATATTTATTCTAACAAATGAGAATCACTGTATGTTCCTGCAGGTGCTATTCTGTGTATAAGAAAATCTCAACAGGGGCAGCCACCTCTGTTGTTCTTCCCTTGCTCACCTGCCTCTTTAATCAAATGTTAACTTAACAACTGTTATTTCACATGCTGCAGAGCCAAGCAAAACCCACTTTGGCTTCTGGATTTGACCTGTGGCATTGGCAAATGGGAGATTCATCTTCTCACTGTAAGCCGAGTACAGGGGAAATGGCACTCTCTGGGATGCAATAAACATTGTTCATTATCATATTGGTTTTATAGCAATTTTCCAGGGTACAGCTATGCTTTCAAACTTTGTGCAGCCTCTGTAATCTTCTTGTATTAAAAACCAAAAGCAAAAAGCAAAAAACAAAGGGAAAGAAGGAAAGGAAAGGAAAGGAAAGGAAAGGAAAGGAAAGGAAAGGAAAGGAAAGGAAAGGAAAGGAAAGGAAAGGAAAGGAAAGGAAAGGAAAGGAAAGGAAAGGAAAGGAAAGGAAAGGAAAGGAAAGGAAGGAAAGGAAAGGAAAGGAAAGGAAAGGAAAGGAAAGGAAAGGAAGGAAAGGAAAGGAAAGGAAAGGAAAGGAAAGGAAAGGAAAGGAAAGGAAAGGAAAGGAAAGGAAAGGAAAGGAAAGGAAAGGAAAGGAAAGGAAAGGAAAGGAAAGGAAAGGAAAGGAAAGGAAAGGAAAGGAAAGGAAAGGAAAGGAAAGGAAAGGAAAGGAAAGGAAAGGAAAGGAAAGGAAAGGAAAGGAAAGGAAAGGAAAGGAAAGGAAGGAAAGGAAAGGAAAGGAAAGGAAAGGAAAGGAAAGGAAAGGAAAGGAAAGGAAAGGAAAGGAAAGGAAAGGAAAGGAAAGGAAAGGAAAGGAAAGGAAAGGAAAGGAAAGGAAAGGAAAGGAAAGGAAAGGAAAGGAAAGGAAAGGAAAGGAAAGGAAAGGAAAGGAAAGGAAAGGAAAGGAAAGGAAAGGAAAGGAAAGGAAAGGAAAGGAAAGGAAAGGAAAGGAAAGGAAAGGAAAGGAAAGGAAAGGAAAGGAAAGGAAAGGAAAGAAAGGAAAGGAAAGGAAAGGAAGGAAGGAAAGGAAAGGAAAGGAAAGGAAAGGAAAGGAAGGAAAGGAAAGGAAAGGAAAGGAAAGGAAAGGAAAGGAAAGGAAAGGAAAGGAAAGGAAAGGAAAGGAAAGGAAAGGAAAGGAAAGGAAAGGAAAGGAAAGGAAAGGAAAGGAAAGGAAAGGAAAGGAAGGAAAGGAAAGGAAAGGAAGGAAAGGAAAGGAAAGGAAAGGAGGAAAGGAAAGGAAAGGAAAGGAAAGGAAAGGAAAGGAAAGGAAGGAAGGAAAGGAAAGGAAAGGATTCCCCAACTTTTAATTGTTCCTCCTCAGCATTCATTGTTCTCTTGATATTTGCAATGTGCAAGGAGCAAGTCATTTAATTCACATTGAATATTGCAAATGGTTTCCTACAACATATATTAATTTAAAGAGCATATTCTCCATTCGTTACAGCAAAATTTATATTAATATAAGCCTAACTAATTTGTGTGTTCTTCCACCTTCCATTTCTTAATATGCAGAACTCCAAGTCTGTTTTCAGGTTGACTGCTGGATTTGATTTGGTTTGGGGAAATGTGCTGAAGTGTTTCTAGGCTATTAGTAAAACAAAAGAGCCTTCCAAAGCAATTTCAGATGAGGTAAATGATTGTAAAAGACAGACTTGACAACAGTTGTGCTGACAAAATCATCTTCAATAAACAAAACAAAGCCAACAAAAAGATATTCTTAGAAGACAAATGGAGAAACTTTGCCTGGTGCACATATCAGTAAGTCACACTTACATCAATGCTCTATCCAGAACATTTATTATACCGGGATTTGCTTTGATTACAGGGAGCTTATAAACATAAAGGGCTTCCCTGATGATCCACCACAGAAAATGAATTACTTTCTTTTGACTTTAGTGGAGTCCAATAAGCCCCACGAGAAAGCACATGGGCATTTTGCTTTTAAATTTTGCAGCACCAGTCTAAGTAAAATTTATTTTTTAAGGAATCTCTTCAGTAGCTAGTTTACAGTGCACTAGAACATTACTGTCAAGTGAAGTTTTCAGTCTTTCTGCACCCAATACTGCTCTGGCTAAGTTTTTGAAAATGTCTTAGGAAGAAATATCAGGCTTTATATTAAAAAAAAGTCTACTGGAAATAATACTAAAGCATTTCTAGGTCTTCCAATTCTGTTAGTCACTGGATGAGGCCAAGATACCTCACTGGATTCCAGGCTAAATGAAAATATCTATTTAAATTTTCAGAAAGCTTGTGAATATATTAATTATATTTTAATATTTTTGATTAAATAAAAACTGTCACTTGAGCTATATATTTCAATTTCAGTTTCAAGACAAATATATCTCTTTTTGTAGAAAGCCCAAGTCACTGGATTCCAGGGAAAAACTTGGGAAGTGAAATTTTTTCCTAAGCTGAGGCAAGAGTCCTGTTTTTCTACCCAGCCTTTTATCTAGCCCTCCATTATACTTGCCTGTCATTCTTCATGACTAAAATCCCTGAAAAGGGACCTAGCATTTGTATCCTGACAAATTTCATCACATTCTTTACTGCTGGGTCATACAACAGTTGGACAGAGGCAGCTCAATGGCGCAAGAATAGGGATGAGGCAGGGCAGGTAAGCCTCTTCCAGTTTCTGCAATGGCTACCAGTGACACAACTGAATTGCTGATGGGAAGGGAGGACTGCTTCTTCTTGGGGCAAGTGTTGGTTGTGAGTACTGATATGAGGAAATATTTGTATTTTGAAAGGAAATGTGGCAAATGATAGTTATGACACAGTGAAGAGAATGTCGTCATATGTCAAGTACTCACAATACTAACACACTGAAACATCAAGCTGGATTCCCTGCGCTGTAGAGGATTGTCTTTTCTGTTGTTTCACATGCTGAAAAATGATTTTTGCATCCATTGCAGAAGTGTGCCTTTTAGCATCTTTGTGTTTTATGAAATCAGACCCAAAAAAATATTTCTCCCCTCTTTAAAATCAGAGCATCTTTTTCTGCTTAGGTTTACCTAAAAATATAAAAACTTGACTTCTCTGAGAAACTCCCTCTCATGATTACAAAATCTGAGCAACAGAGCAGCAATTTCTGACAAAAAAATTTGATGAAAGCTGTAATATCATGCCACTTCAAGAAATCTCACAGTCCAGTCTTTTAATTTTCCATCTAGTTCTAACAGAAAAAAATTAAAAGGCCATGATGTGCAGGATGTCCAAAACTAATTAGCCTTTACCATGTCTGCCACCATAGTACATAAATTCAGCACTCCGTGAACATTAGCAACTCCTCATTTTGGGTTGCCAGAGATTCAGTTAGCCAAAATCACACATCACTTTTGAAAGTTATATTTCCAAAACAGTGAGCTTAGAAGGATAAAATTAAAGGGGAAAAAGTGTGGGGAAATAAAGGGCTTCAGGATTTTCTCATTTAATAGAAAATAAGAATAAGAAATGGCATATGCTCACAGTTCAGAAGGACACATCCTACTTTTTCACAGGCCAATTAAAAAATAAAGGAAAACCACTCACATCAGAACTATTTCAGTTTGTGCTGCTCACTGCTGTGTTGGTCCTCAAGCCAGGTGCAGAATTCATGATAGTAAATTGCACACACCCATGTTGTGGCCATGAGCACAGGGGTCTAACAGTAGGGCTCAGAAGAGCTGGCACATCGCATGTTTTAATGTGATTTCAGTTTTAAGTTGTTGTTACTGAGCACAGGAACACATCTCCAAACTGACCTGTCTCCTACAAGTAGGCGGGATTTTTTGTGAATTTTATTCCCAGAGCTTGAAGACTTTCCATGCACCTGTGCACTCCATTCGGGCATTTTGTTAAATAAATCTGTATGCTTATCTTTCTAGACAGGAATGGAAGGGAAAGCTGGATCTGCCTCTGTGCCAGGGGCTGTTGGTGGAGCCCTGGGACCATGATGTGAGCCAAAATCCCAATTCATCCTCAGTGGACTGAAGCAAACCCTTTCTTGGAGACTGTCCCGTCTCCTGGAGTTGTAACACTGCCCCCTCTCCAGATAAGTAGAGGTGCCCGTGAGAGCTGGAATGGAATGGTGCTGGGCACAGGGAGAGGCCAGTGAGGAGCTCCAAAGTGGAAGCTGATCCTCTCTTTGGTGCACAGGGGCACTGCCCGGGTTACACACCAGCTCTGCAGGAACGTCTCGTGTGGGATCCCCACCACATCGGCACATCCCACATGGATCCAGGCAGGTGTGTACATCCCAGGCAGGCTCCCAGGACATCTGTCCAATCAGTCCCCAGGAGGCACAGGCACAGGACCCCTGGCCCTGTCACTCTCAGGTGAGCTCAGTAGAGAATGGGTGTGTAGAAGTTCACCCGAGGTGAGATGGTGATGCTTCCAGGCACACGCGGTGGCTGACATACCTTCAGGCACTCACAGTATATTTCTACCTTCCAGGAGCTTCATTCCCAGAGATCAACCAGATCTCATATGATGCCTGATAAAAAGTAAATGACTTCCTAATACTAAACAAAGCCTGTAAAAAAATGCACATGCAAATACTCTCAAATACTTGAAATTAAAACTCCAATAGTATATTCTGTTTTCATTCGTATGTTATTACTACTTTTTTTTCAGAAGTCATAAATTTTCCTGCTTTAAGTTGTTGTCTGATATAAAATTAATTCCAAGTGAGTGGGTTTTTACTGTATATGTCCTTGTTTTAGTTTTCCAGTTATTTTTCATAAATACCTTTTACATCTAACTACCTCAGCTGCCTTTTGTTTTGTTTTGGCGCATATGAAGTCATGCACTTTCTATATTTGGGGATTTGGGGGGAGGAATTAGTTCCATTTTGAATAACCAGGTTCAAAGCCATGTTGATCAATTTATAGAGGAGATCAGTTTAAGAAGTCATAATTATTGACAGTTGCAGAACATACATTTTATTTTTAGGTTGTGTTGGGGTATAGTTTAACAAAAAACCATCATAAGCTGCTTATTAATTTGCCTTAAAAATGTATGCTCTTTCCTATTCAAGTTGTGTTCTTTAATTCTTCTCTTGTACACAATTTATGTGACAAAGACTAACATAACAGTTGGCAGATAAACAGCAAATTGAACAGAGTGGACCAATAGTTTCTCAGTTGTCTGTTGTAAACTGTTGCATTATACACTGATTGTGCTAAAAGAATTGTTACTGTGCTTATACTTCTTAGTCACCACTGCGGAAATAAAGTGATGGAAGATCACATTTGTGTTTATGGAACAGTGTAGATGCCCCCTCTCCCCCACCCCAGTACAAGCACAGTGACTATAGGTGAATGATAA